TGAACACCAAAATCCCCACTTGGGCTTTCTGAGGAGCTGGGGAGCAGGTGGTCTTGGCCAGGTGGCCCTCAGCTGAAGCTGACTACAGCCATGCCCGGCAGGGAAGCTAGGTCGTGGGGCAGTCAGTCCCACCATCTCCAGCTTCTCAAAGACCCCTTGTCACCCCTGCCACTACCGGGCAGCCCCACCACTTCTTGAGTCTGTGACTCGGGACAAGTGTCCAAGACGCCAAGCCAAACCAAGCTCCCGGCTATGCAGTCGATGCCAACTTGTAGCCGCCCTAGAGGACAGACCAGCCCACCCTGTGAGTCTCCCGGAGAAGAAAGCCTCATCTTTCTCCTGAGGAGTGGCTGGTGGCTTTCAACTGCTGACCTGGTGGTTATCAGTCCAGCACACAACTATGTCCCCAGCCAGCTATCCACAATGAAAAGCTCCCACCCTCCCTGAGCCGAGAGAGCAGCGAGGACCTGCTGAAGATGGCAGTGGGCATCCCTGGGTACTCCCAAGACAGAGACCCTAGGGGCCAGACAACGCTGGGGCCTAGGGCATTCAGCTGGCGGCCACCACGCACTCCCACACTTCGTGGCCTGTTCTGAGAGACCACAGAGAGGCACTCGCTCCGTGTCTAACGGCCTATTGTCATGGGAAGCCGGGGGCCACTCACCACTCTCAGGGGTGTATCTCAGGTCCTGGAGTGCGGCCACGGCCGCCTGCGTCCCCTGAACGTCCTCCTCGGCCTCTGTGATGTGGAGGTACGGGGTGGGCGGCTCCTCAGGAGCCTCTGTTGCTGGCTGAACAAAAACATCTTGTCATCCGCGTCACCTTCCACCCAGAAGCCCAACACGCGGGCGCGCACAATCGACTCATACGCGGCGGCTGCGAGGAGTTTATGGGACGCGGGAATGGGAAGATGATGGAGTTTTCCCACGAGCTCCTTGAAGCCCCCTCCTGTTCTGTGACAGCCGTTTATCCAGCATCCCTGGGAATCAGCTGCTCCAATAAGTGTGTTTTCCAGAGAGGACATGTCTCTTGGCAAGTATGCACCAAGACTCTTAACCACCAGCTTGGATGGAGAGCTATCTCCTCCAGACCTACCTGAGGGGCTGGGCTCTGCGGGGCACAAGGAGAGCTGGGAGGGGCTCGGGGGGCTTGAGGGCATGCTGCCAAGGGTGCCTTGACCTGCTCCCTCGAGCCCAGCGTTGTCCCTTGTCTCCTGGGGCTAGTGGCCACTGGAGGTGGGGGCAGAGTCACGGAGCATCTGATGGTGCAAAAAGGGAAGGGCAGTGTGGAAAACTGCCTCACATCTCCAAGTCTTGTCACCCGGGAGCCTGGTGCATGCGAGCTCAGTAACTCCGAGCTGTCCTGTCCACCTCACACACACACACACACACCAGAGTTGTGCAAAATCAGTACTCAGAGAGGGTAACAGGAAGGCACTCTGATGGCACAGCGGTTAAGCGCTCAGCTGCTACCTGCAAGGCTGGCGCCTGAACCCACCAGCAGTTTCCCGGGAGAAGGACCTGGTACCTGTGCTCCCGTGAAGATGACCTACTAGGAAACTCAACGGTGCAGTTCCACCCTGTCGTTGGGGTCACCTGACAACAGCAGTAGCAGCAGCAACAAGGGGCGAGAGGAATTAAAACTTTGTACCTCAAGGAGAAGAGAGGTGGAACAATGATGTCCTCAGACCTAGAGGTCAGTAACCCTCTCTCTCTGCAAGGGACCAGGGGGTGGACTGCAGGGTGGGTGGTAGGAACATCATCAGAGATGCCGCCACTGGTGGGGGCAATGTCCCCATGCTCAAACAGTTACCAGTACCAAGACGATGCTTCAAAAAAGGGTCACTTCTCATGCACAGTCAAGTGGCCAGGTCCACGTGCCATGTTTGCGGCATGACACATGGCAGACACCCAAGAAATACCGGATGAGTGCAGAAATGAGCAAAAAGAAGCACTGTGCCTTTCAAGTACCATGAAGCCAACTGCAGTTGGGTCCAAGGCAGACCTCAGGTTGTACAAGAGCTGGGCACACATTGATTGGGCTCTCCTCACTCGGGGCAAAGTCTGTAATAATCAATCAGGGAAGGGTGGTCCTTGTGACGGCTAGGGCTGTTGCCAATGTGGCTGGGCCGGATTGCGGGTGGTTTGGCAGTGAGATCTCACCACGAGATCTGCTATGTGCAGCCAATCAGCTGAGAAGGACTTTTCCCAGGGGTGCTTCCAATATATGCACAGATGCTGTGGCAAAGCTTCCTTGCTTGTTGATGAATCTAGATTTTACAACTGACGTCGTCTGACCTGCAGTTCTTAGGACTTCAGCCAGCAGCCTGCTGATACAGGCAGCATTCAGCAGTCTGCCATCTCGCTGCCCACCTCGTATTTACGCTCCTCTGCAGCCAGCAGCCTTCCATCGGACCGGTCAATCTTGACTTCTCCAGCCCCTGCAGTTATGTGAGTCAGGGGAAACCTGACGTCTGATCCACTAACCTAGAAGATGCCAGTCTCTAGAACCACGTGAGCCATTTCCTTGAGAGAAAAATACGTAGACACACACATACGCATACGTAGACACACATACATACTCTTTATAAAAGTTTCCCTGATTTCGCTTCACACGAGAACCCTGCCTAAGACAGTACTAATTTCCAGGCATTCTTGAGAGCCCAGGGGCAGCTACAGGTGATAGGAGAGGTGGCATGGTGGTCCACTGGTAACTGGCTGAGTTGGTCAGTTGCCTCCCTTACAGAGCAGAGTGCATTAGCTTGGTGTCAACTATTTTGGTTGGGCTTGCAGCTCAACTGTGTCCCTCTCTACTGGAAGATAATCCTTTGGAGATGAGGAGCATTGCTGCCTATAGTTATAAAGGCACTGCCTGACGGTGGTGGTTACATAATTTCATGTCAACTTGATAAACAGCGTGTAGGGGTGGAGTCTAGCCTGCCAATCAGGTCACAATGTAACACCCACCAGGATGATTCTGGGACCCTCCTCTTTTTCTCCTGGGAGGAGGAACACGCTCTCTCCCTGTTTCACATTCCTGTTGACAAGCCACATGGAGCTATACTAATGGTAGCCAGAGCCCTGGAGCTGGAGGAACCACCAGCACTGAGATG